GGCTGTGGGTGAGCTGAGGGGTGAGTTTCCTCGGTGCCTCGCCTCGCCCCTGCGCTCAGGCTCCCCGGGAGGGTGGACGTGGGGCGGGGCTGGGCGGGGGCAGTTAGGCATGTACAGGGCAGGAAGTACCAGCCTGAACCGTCCCACCAACATAGGCGCACACAACTGAAGTGAGCCTTTGCCTGAGACCTTAGGCCTTGGGGTCTCTTCAACTGGGAAAATAAGAAGGGAGCAGCAGTCTCCCCTAGGCCTCCACCCAATGCTGTTCTGCTGCCCTGCCCATGGCGCCCCTGTCGAAGTTAGTACCTGTGTGCTCTAGAGGCCAGCCCTGCTTGTGCCACCCCTGAGCTGGCGTGGCCCCGGATAGAACCCAGCTGTGGGCTCTGGCTGAAGGCACTGCACTCCTGGAGCCCCAGAACTCCGGAGCAGAAACCTGAGTGGGCCAAGCTCCAGCCCGCCCCAGTCCCTCACTGCTGCCCCCACAGGGCCCCATGAGCCCCATCCCCACCTCCCGAGGAATCGGCCAGGCTAGCCTACCTCCCCTCCCCCAGTCAGTGGTCAGGTTCCCAGCCTGCTCAGGAGCTGGTGTCCCTCACTATGCCCACTTCTGTGCAGCCTGCCAAGCTGGGCCGCAGCCCCAGGCAGCCCAGGCCCTGGAGCTCCCTTGGGGGCTGACATGAGGGAGGGAGAGTCCTCTCTCCATTTCACATATTCAAGGAACCTCTCAGGGAGGAGGAGAACCCTCGGGTTTCTCTCCCACTGGCCCGCGGGGGACTGGCCCAACCCACTTTAGAGGGGCTGGTGGAAGGACACCCCAAGCTGCTCACATTAGTGCCAACCGATGCAGAGAGAAGAAGGCAGGGGTTGTCCCTAACATCATCTGTAACATAGGAAAGAGCATGAACCTTCAGCTCAGGTAGATCTGGGTTCAAATCCTTGGCAAATAACCTCATTTTTCACATCTGCAAAATGAGGTGACTAAAGTTATTATTGGAAAATTAGGTGAGGAACTGCCGGGAAAATGCTGACATGAACCCTGACACACAGTAGGGCTCAACAGGTGTTAGACAGCATCATCATCATCACTATTATTATATACTTTGGAGGCACGTCTGGGACCACCATATGCACAGCAACACGTTTTCCATGAAGCTGGTGCAGATGAAGCTTCAGGGTCTCCCATTTGCGAGGCTCTGCTCCTGATTTTCCATCTGTGACCTTGTATCGACGTCCTTGAGGAGTGCCTTCCTCCTCAGCATGTATGAGCCTGAATGTATCTCCTAAGTCCCTCACAGCACTTAGCGCAGTATGAGAGTGGTTCAGTGACAGGGCAGTGAGCAGACAGGGACAGAGAGTCAACAGCAAGATGGAGGCAGGCCGGTGGCCTGTGGGGAGGTGGGCCCGGAGAACACTTACCTTGGAGCAGGGGGCAGATCTTCCTCCAGGCTGTGACGCTCCCTTGGCTGGTGTACTGGCCCAAGGCCACCTCCAAGAAGAACACGGGGATGCCACACGTGAAGAAGAAGATGAAGTAGGGGATGAAGAAGGCTCCTGCAGAGGAAGGAGAGGTATGGGCTGAGCCTTTAGCCTAGGCCTTCATCTCCCTCCTCAGCCCTCCCAAGGGCACAAGTCGGCTTCCTCTTATCTGTGCCCAAGGACAGGCGGAAAATTTTCCAGTCTGAACCTTACTCAGGACAGGAAAGCTCTTGGAAGGGAAATTTCGGTGGAAATCCTAATGTATGCGCTATTTATTTGCTCAGTGTGTTTCACAAATCTAGTCAATTTATTATTTTTGGAACAAAAACATGTGTTCTGTATAGTTTGATATGCTTATTAAATTATCACGTTTGTTACATTTTAGAGAAAAACAAATAAACAAAAACACCTTGGAAAAATTATTCTCCCTCTAATAATTTCAGAGGGACTTTTCCCTCCACCAGGCTCTGATCCGAACTGGGCTCTCTGCAGAGAAGGCCATTCCTCTGCTCAGCCCCCCTCTCAGGAATGGGGGAGTCAGCCAGCGAGGTGGTCAGGCACTGACCACAGGCCCTGACAGGAGGCAGGGCCTAACAGACATCCAGCAAATTACATATGAGTGAATTTGAAGGCAACCCTAAGCCCACAGTACCCACTTCGGTCACAAAGACATACCCCACCTCAGAAGTATACCAATGGGCCGATGGATTATTGTTTATCGCACAATAATAACACTTAGCACTTATTTGGTGCTTACTGTATGTTAGGCACTCTTCTAAATGCTTCACCAACATCAAAATCCTCACACAACAACCTGCCATTATACCCATTCTACAGATGAAAAACTGAGGCCACTCTAAAGATTCAAAAACTGAGACACAGATGAGAAAAGTGAAGCACAAACCCACGTGGTCTTAGTCTGCGTTCTTACCTACTACATTATAGTCCTAGTCAGTTGGCTCAGTGGATAGAGCATTGGCCTGTGGACTGAAGGGTTCCAGGTTTGATTCTGGTCAAGGACATATGCCCAGGTTGCAGGCTCGATCCCCAGTAGGGGACGTGCAGGAGACAGCCAATCAATGATTCTCTCTTATCATTGACTAGAGGCCCCATGCACAGATGCACCAGTGGGGTCGCTTAGCCTGGCCTGTGCCCTCTCGCAATCCAGGACCTCTAGGGCGATGTCAGACTGCCGTTTTTAGCCGGATCCCCACAGGGCTCAATCCCACTCAATTGGGCCCCACTGCGTCTGTTGTGGGAATGCACTGACCACCAGGGGGAAGCTCCTGCATTGAGCGTCTGCCCCCTGGTGGTCAGTGTGCATCATAGCACCGGTCATTCCATCTGGCCTGTGGGCATCGGGCCAAAACCAGCAGTCTGACATCCCTTGAGGGGTCCCAGAGTGCAAGAGGGCAGTCTGCAAAGTTGCTGTCACTCAGCAGCTCCTGCATTGAGCATCTGCCCCCTGGTGGTCAGTGCACATCATACCTACCAGGTGGTCAGCTGGTCAGCCAGTCACTTAGCCATATCTATCTATATAGATAGATGTTTCTATCGCCCTCTCCCTTCCTCTTTGAAATCAATATATTTATTTATTTATATTATTATGATATATTTTAACTACTACATTATAATGTCTCTCAAGTAATCCATATTACTTTGTAGAAAAATAGAAAATACAAAGAAAAAGAAAGGAAAAGGCATTATATATCCTTTCAATTTCTTACAAACATACAGATATATATATTTCTTTTTCGGAAAAAAAATGAGACCTTACTATGTATTATTTCATAACCATTTTAAAATGTATATCATGAACTTCTTTTGATATCAGTAAATACATCTCTATGCCATCATTTACTGGCTGTAAAGTATTCCACCTTAGGCATCTGTCCTAGTTTATTTTATCAGCATGACTTTTGGCCTTTTCTGTTGCTTCCTGAGAAAACTGCTATGATGCAGACTGTCATCCACATCCTGTGCACTTGTCTAATCTGCTCCTTAGTATCAATTTCAACAGAGGAATTGGGGGTCAGAGAGTATACACTTTTTTTATTTTTGCTTTTTTTTGGTAAAATATATATAACATAAGTTTTACCATTTTAACCATTTTTAAGTATACACTTTAGTGGCATTAAGTAAGTACATTCACACTGCTGTACAACCATCACCACTATCCATCTCCAGAACTTTTTCAGCCATCACAAACTGAAACTCTGTACCATCAAACACTAACCACCCATTCTCCTCTCTCCCCAGCCCCTGATAACCACCATTCTTTTTCTCTCTGAATATGCCTTTTCTAGGCACCTCATATAAAATAATCATACAGTACTGATCCTTTTGTGACTGGCTTAGTTCACTTAGCATAAGGTCTTTAAGATTCAGCCATGTTGTAGCATGTGTTAGAATGTCCTTCCCTTTTTAAAAAATATATATTTTTTTTTATTGATTTCAGAGAGGAAGAGAAAGGGAGAGAGAGCTATAAACATCAATGATGAGAGAGAATCATTGATTAGCTGCCTCCTGCATGCCCCCTACTGAGGATCAAGCCTGAAACCTGGGCACCTGCCCTGACTGGGAATCCAACTATGACCTCCTGGTTCATAGGTTGATGCTCAACTGCTGAGCCACACCGGCCGAATTTATATATATATACTAGAGGCCCGGTATATATATAAAATTTGTGCACTTGAGGGAGAGGGGTCCCCTCAGCTCAGCCTGCACCCTCTCGCAGTCTGGGAGCCCTCGGGGGTTGTCCGACTGACGCAGAGGCAGGACAGGCTCCCGCCATCACCACTGAGCTCGCCAGTGTGAGCCTGGCTTCTGGCTGAGCAGCACTCCCCCTGTGGGAGCGTACTGACCACCAGGGGGCAGCTCCTGCATTGAGCGTCTGCCCCCTGGTGGTCAGTGTGCATCATTAGTGACCAGTCGTTTCACCGTTTGGTCGATTTGTGTATTAGCCTTTTATTATATAGGATTTGAGTTTTTTCCACCTTTCAGGTATAAACATTTTTTAAAGATCTTTCACGTGCATTTCCAAATTGCCCTCCAAAATTTGTGTACCAACCTGCATTCCCAGCAGCAACACGTGAGAAGGATTTGTGGGTCTTCAGGCCCCAGGGAGCCATGGCCAGCCAGTAACTCTCCCTTAAGTTCTGAAGTCCTTTATGTCCTGAGTAATGCTAGAGCATCAGTCACCCCGGGCTCATCAACACCACTGACTCTGGTTTCCTGGCTTAGAGAGTTGCAGGGATTCGGCTGGGAGTGGTGCTCAGGAGAAGGGATGTGGCTGGGAGACTCCCCAAGGGGCACTTTACAGGAAGTCTGTGGGGGCACATGACCCAGAGGCTCCTTCCCAGCTGCTGTGTGGGGACCCTTCCCCTCTAGTCAAGGAAATGGCTTTAGTTCTATTATTGAAATGGAGACTTCTGCCCCACAGAGGAAGGGGTGCCCTCAGGAGGCCTGGAGCTGGGCCTGCCTCAGGTTGAGTCCACCCAGGAAGGGAAGGACTAGGCTTGGGCCTTTGGAACACTGGGAGGAGGTTGGGTCTAGATCAGTGATGGCGAACCTTCTGAGCTCGGCGTGTCAGCATTTTGAAAAACCCTAACTTAACGCTGGTGCCGTGTCAGATATAGAAATTTTTTGATATTTGCAACCATAGTAAAACAAAGGCTTATATTTTTGATATTTATTTTATATATTTAAATGCCATTTAACAAAGAAAAATCAACCCAAAAAATGAGTTCACGTGTCACCTCTGACACGTGTGTCATAGGTTCGGCATCACTGGTCTAGATGGACTATAGGGGTGCTTTCCTGTGGATTTCCAACCATGATCACTGCAAACACCCTCCCCTCCACCTCCCTTGGGAGGTTATCCTGGCTCAGTTTTATTGGTACCTGCCCAGGCCATGGGCACAGGCAGTCTGTAATGCCACAGGGATCTGTGCACACAGGTGCCCAGAGGCCTGTACAACTCTCCCTCCCTCTGCGCTAAGGTGCGCCTGCGCCTCAGTATCCCTGCCACGCACTCTCCCCTGAACTGCTGACAATCAGGAAACTCAGAATTTCCTGAAACTCTCTTTTGGAAGAAATAATTTGAGGATGATCTGTTTTTGGTGACTCCCTGCTTTTTTATAACCAAAGACATTATTAGACCAATAACTTTATTACTCTTTCATTCCTTTTGAAAGATTGTTCTCTACAGAACTAGAGAAAAATAATTAATAATCCAACGACAACTATTTTAACTAATAATTATTAATAATTCTTTTTAATTAATATATTAGTAAAAACTATATTTGACTGCCACCCAGAGCTTATGGTCAGCTTGAGATAAACCATATTACCCCACAGAGTTAGTACAATTCTAGTCTAAAGCAAAAAACTGACATTTAGGTCAGCCTGTGGAGTTCCCACATAGATCTATTATAAGTTGTCTAGATAAGGAAATTACTGCCTGGACCTTCACTATTACCTTCCTAAAGCCCCAAAGACCAGTGACACCAGAGGGAGACCCGACCTCGCTTAGTCCCCACATTAAAGGGAACATGATCGAGGCAGCATGTCTCTCCCAAACAGTTAGGTTGGGACAGAGCTAAATGAGAACATGGGTGACAGAAACTAACACAGAACCTGCACAGTAAATGTGATCTGGTCTTGCCATTTCCCAGGTGACCTGGGCTCAGCCTGTCCCTGCATGCTGTCATAGGTGCTTGTCTCTCACCCCGCCCCATGGTCAGTACAGAGGTCACAGCCACAGCTGCAGCCACCAGGCAGGACAGAGGCGGGGTGGGCACTGGAACCTGGGCTGGCATCGTCCCTTCTTTTCAGATGGCAAGGTGAGGGGCATGCAGCAATGTGGGAGCCAGCGAACCTGGCTTCTGGGACCTCCTGCTGCCATCCAGCTCTGTGGTTTGGGGTGCCCTCTATGAAATGAGGGCTCTGCCTAGCTCATCTTTAGCTCTAGCTCTAACATCCTATGTGTCCATGAAACTGTGGCCTGGGGTAAAGAAGTAGGTCACTGCCTCTACCTCTTCTTCCTGCCTCCCCTCAGCTCTGGTCCAGCATTAGTCCCCCACTCCCAGTTTTGGCTCCCTAACCCTAACTTTCCCAGGAAACCCTATTTCTATTTCTTCGGAGTCATTGGTTCAAGCAATTTGTAATAATAACTGAGCAAGATGCATGGTGGATACTCAGTAAAAATGTGTCAAATTAAATATAGATAGTGTTTCAAAGGATTTTCTAAATAATGGTTACCTGTACATGAGAATGTTTCTTGTTTGCTTGTTTGTTTGTTTTTTACCTTCCAGAATATTTCTAATGTTCACTATCTATATATATATATAAGTCCAGTGACCGAATAGCAGGATGATCAGAATGACCAGTTGCTATGATGCACACTGCAGCGGCCAACTGGCCCGATCCGGGCCCAATTGGCTCCCCAACCTCCCGCGGCCCTTCCATCTGGCTAGCCTTTCCCCCAAAAGCCCCCCCCACCCTGATTGGGGGCGAGGCCAGCCAGCCAACTGCCCACGGCCCCTCCCCCCGGCCAGGCAACCTCCTGGTGTCCGTCCCCCTGGGCAGGTCCCCCTGATAGGTCTGGATTGCTGGCCAGGCCAAGATACTCCACCTGTGCATGAATTCATGCACCAGATCTCTAGTAAACATATTATTTCCACAAGAGTGCAGGTATTTCAAAAGGCAAGCATGGATCTGGCCAGTCACAAATAAATTCATGGAAATATGAAATATTCCAAATAGGTAAATTCATCGCATAGAATATAGATTAGCAGTTGGCAAGGACTAGTGGGAGAGGGAATAAGAAGTGACTATAAACAAGTACGGGGTTTCTTTTGGGGATGATGAAAATGTCCCAAAATTAATGGTGGTGATGGCTCCACAGTTCTGTGAATACACTGAAAACCATTTAATTGTGCACTTAAAAGGAGTATTCTGGCCCCTCCCTACCAAGCCCCTGCTCATTTTTACTACCAGTGCTGAAAAATAATAAAATTATGTTTCTTTAATTTTAAAAACTCATAGGCATGATAATTTCTTTCCACTGATTGAAACTCCTCAGTGGTTCCCACCTCACTCAGAGCAGAGCCTGCGAGACCTGGGCCGCTGCCCCACTGTTCAAGTGTTCTGCACCTGGTTTTCCGTTGATGAGAGTGGCTCTGTCACCTCCTTCAGCTCTTTAGTCTAATGTCTTCTCCTCAGTGAAATGTTTCTTGGCATTTTAGTTTATATTTCAAACCCCACTCCCCTGCCCTGTGGCCCAGCATTCCCTATCCCTCTTCCCGGCTTTGCTTCTCACCATTTCACTCATCACCATTTGACATACCACATATTTTACTTATTTGTCTGTAATCTGCCACCCTTCACTAGAATACAACATGTGGAATAGGTTTGTTTTGTACCTAGAACAGTGGCTGGCACATGCTATGCCCACAATAGTATTAGTTGAATAAATGAATGACTCCTGTCAACACTGGCATGTATACAGAGCAATGAAGGAGCTTATTAAAAACTCAGACTCCTAGGTCCTGCTGTTGCTCATTTAATCTCTGCTGTAGCCCTGTGGGGTGTCATCGCCATTTCACAGAGGGGGACACTAAGGCCAGTGGGGGAGCTAGAACTCGAACTCAAGTCCTCTGCTCCATCCCAGCCTCCTTCCATTTTACCACAATGCCCAGGCAGGAGGCACCCAGGTGGGCACTGCCTGGTTACCAGGGCACAGCTCTCCCCACCGCGCCTACCTCAAAATGAACTCACCACCTCCATTTTTGTAGCAGAGATAAGGAAACCTCCAGACATTGCCCAGCCCAATGATCTCCCCGGCCACTGACAGCACAAACTCCATCTTGTTGGTCCATTGGCCCCGATCCTTCACCTGGTCCTCGCCTTCCTGGTCCAGCTTCTCTCCCTCCTCAGGGACCCAGGTGACCATAGGAGGCACATCCTCGTGGGCCGCCACTTTCCTGTCCATAGCCCCGTAATGGATCCAGAGGCCACTGAGCTGGGCGTGGGGCCAGACGGTGAGAGAGGCACAGCCTGGTGGGAGGAAAAGGAATGAGCTGTCCAACCCCAGCACATGCCTGCCACCCCTGCTTTCTCCACCCTAACCTTTAATTACTACTGGAATATTGCTTTAATTTGCTGGACTGTTGCTTTAAAATTGATTTACTTCTGAAGCTCTCAATGGCATTTACACCTAAAGTTATGCTTTGCTCTCATGACTCTAAAAACAAATTGGGACCAAATCTTAGCTTGCCCATTTTGTCGATGGGAATACCCAGGCCTTGACAGATGAAGTGACTTGTCTAAAACCATTTAGAACTATATTTAAACCCAGGCTTTCTGCCTTTTATTCCAAGTCCCTTTTGATCTTCACAGCCAGCCACCTGTGTGCCCCAGCTCCTCAGCCTTCAGGCCAGAAGGGATCAAGGCTGCCAGGGATGACAGGTCAAAGGGCAGATGTGTCGGAGGTGACTGCATGGTTTTCTGCTGGCCAGCTGTGTGTTCGTTCCTGTGCCAGCGTGATCGACCAACTCGGGGTAAACATGGGAGCCAGCTAGCTCGAGACATCTGATTGGGAGGGAAGGGGAAGGTGGGGCCTCTGAGCAAGGCCAGATGAGGACTAGGATTGGTGCCAGGACCGAGGGTAGGACTTCAAAGGAACCCTGGTTCTTTTTCTCTGTTGGACCTCTGTTCTGAGAACAGGGTGAAGTCCTGGTGATAGAAGGGATCACCAGAGCGATTCTCACTTGGGTGGTGGTCTTCTCCAGATCAGAGTGACCCCTCAAGGAATGGGCTCGGAAGTAGCTGCATATCATAGCAGGTCGCTGCCCTTCCCTCCTCTTTGCTCTACTAATGAGCCCAAAGCTCCCTGGACTTTCAGGAAAATCACGTGGGCCACTCAGCTTTACTCTGCCCTCTTGTTGTCTGTTTGTCAATTGCCACGACACAGATGGCTGGTGTTGTACCTAAAAATCACTATTTGCCTCCCCTTCTCTTTCCCCCACCCCACAATCTCCCTGAGGCTACCTCTTGCCTCTGTTTCCCTTGGGCTGCCAGGAGGAGGTGCCAAGGGTGCAGAGGGGAGCACCCCCCTCCCCTGCTCCTTGCCTACGAAGGAAGGGCGTTGGGGCATCAAGTCACTCGGAGCCACCAAGTGCTCCATGCTCCTCCAGGCTCTGGGGAAACACAGGGTCCTTTTTATTAAAAGAAGAGTCTGTGTTTATTTGTTGGTCCTTTTAACCCAGGCAACAGCCCAAGTCCAAGGTGTGGCAGGAGCCATTCGAGGTTGTGGAAATTTTTGAAGGTGACTTGAAGGGTGCAGGTTATCCCAGGAATGGGAACGCATGTCAGGGTGAAATTCCGGTGTTGGCACCTACTCAGAGGCTGCTATTGCAAGCTCAGCCTCGGAGGGGAGATGAGGAGAGAGGCACACAGTGGAAATCAGAGGCCTCAGCCTCTGATATAAGGGAGGGTGAGTGGAAGAAGGGAATGGAGCAAGCTCCGGTTCAGAGTAAGCAGCAGACCTCAAGGGCCTTGGGAACCAGAGCCTTAGGCTGAAAGAGCAGGGTAGTCTAGCCCCAGGGGGAACGTTGATGATACCTGAACCAACTGTGGATGCTGCTACAGAATTTCAGCTGGGGCACCCTGAGGACTGGCCCTTGAATCATTATTAAACAAATGAATGGATGGATGGATGGGTGAATGAATGAATGGATTAAAAAACTGATGAAAAAAGCACCAGACAGAAACCAAAGTTCTAGTCCAAACCGACCTAATAATAGTAATCAGTTAACATTTGAATAAGTTCTGTCCTAAAAACATATACATCTTTATATACATTATTAGATTTCATCTTCATCAAAATCTTTGGGTATTACTATTAACTCCATTTTATAAATGAGGAAATGCTCAGAGAAATTCAGGATGAGAACTGAGCACATCAGGTGCTCAGTAAAAGCTTTTTTTGAATGGTTTGCATAAACTTACCAAAGCAGTAAATGGTGGAGCTGAGTCTCTAACTTGCTGTGTGACCTTAGGCAAATCACACCTCCTCTCTGGGCTTCACGCCTCCTGGAAGAGAGAATTATGTCTGCTCAGTAGGGGTGTTGGGAGGGCAGGGGATCAAAATCAGATCCTTAAAAGACAAGGAGAGACGATTGCCTTTGCTTGCCAAGCCATACGGTAGCTCAGCTCAGGGTGAGCTCTGAGCACAAGAGTTGCCAAAGGGATGGTCAGGAGACAAGCCTTACTGCTCCCCGACCAGAAGCAGCTATTTCAGGGCTAAGCTGTCCTCAGCAGTTAGAGGTGGGGAAGGAGTACATGAGGGGGAGCCAGAGGAGAGAGTGGGATCAGGAAGCAAATCTCAGAACCCAGTTTGGCCACAGGATTTGGGTTGTATCGCAGATGGGATGGGGAGAGAAGAGAACATGAACTCATGGACTGACACTAATGTGACTTTTTTTTAGTTAAAAAAATGTTATTGGGAGGACCATAACTTATGGGTAAGAATGAAAAACCAGAATGGCAGAAGGAACGCGAGGGCATGTGAAAAGGAAAGCTGGCCCAGAGCCAGGGTAAGTCAGGGGGAAACAGGCTTAATTTGAGCAACTGGGATTCAGGTTAGACTCAGGGAAGAAATGTCCAGGAAGATGTTAGGCATCAAAACAAGCTGTACAAAGCTCTCCTTTTGGGGATACTTTCAAAAGCCAGAAGGACAGTACACCTGGCCCTCCTGCTACCCTCACCCCACCCCCACTGTGCCCTTCCACCGAAGCCCATTTGCTAAGGATAAACAGCAGTGTTATCCACAGTCAGGATGACTTCCAGAGATCTCCCCCTTCCCAAGTCCACCCCAGCCCTGTCACCTCTCCAGCCCCTAGCTTCGTCTCCCCAGGCTGCCCACCTGCTCTGCCAAGCTGCGGCAGGGTGTGGGGGGCATGCAATGGACCTCACCATACCTCAGTGCCCTCCAGAAGCAAAGAACCAACGGCCACACTGGGCTGCGTGCTGCCCATCGAGGAAATATTCAAAAGACAGCAAGTCCAAAATTAACTGTTTGTAGGAGGCAGGCATGTGGACAGAGGCCTGGCCAGGGTCTAGCAGAGGAGCAGACAAGTGTAGAAACACTACTCCCCGCATAACTTCTGGGACCCCAGCTCAGCCCCGTCACACCCCAGGCCAGCATGGGACACCCCAGCTCTTGCCTCAGCCCACACCCACATACCAGTTGCCGTTTCCGTACACACACTGGTGCCATTCCCGTCACGTCCCTTTGCACACACATACCTGTGTGCATGGCACCAAAGCCTGGCTCCCGTCTAGTCCTTCATACCCCGGGGGCTGCTTGGCTTGGCTGGTAGCCGCCTGCACCTTCCGTCAGCCCCCTGACAACCCCCTTCAGGCACCAGCATGCCCAGGCCTCCCCTGAGCCAGGCCGCTTCCTCCTCCTGCTCTGCTAGCAGGGGGACAAGAGCCCCTCACTAGTGGGGTGGGGGGCAGGAGCCTCTCACTTGCGATTGCTAACTGCAGACCATGGGCCCTCAGGAATGGCCGAGGTTTCTTCTGTCTGCTTCTCCTCCCACATTGCTGGGCACTGTCTGCTTCCCTCTCGCTCTTAGTCAGGTGATCACCCCCTCCTTCACTCACTCCCTGTGGCCGTCCCCCATCTATGGACTTGTCTGCTCCCCAGGGTGATTCTGGAGCAACTCAGATGCCATGGATGGTGAGGGGGAGCTGGGACACCCCTTGTCCTGGGATCCTGGGCAGCAGACTTTGCTCTGGCCCAGTGCATTGCATCACAGACACACACGGTCTGCCTCTCTGGTCTCCTGCCGCAGCCCCTCTGAGGACCCTCCCAGAGGCTGTGAAGACAGACCCAGCCCCCCACCTCCTGCTCACCTCAGCCCCGATCCCGGCTCCTGTGGTCAGCTCAGCTCCATGCCTCGAGTCCCCAGGAGAGCCCAGGGAAGCCACTACCCAGAGAGACAGGACCTGAAAGGGAAATTGTCCTCCACCTTCGCTCCTTCTCCTGTTCTCCCAGCTCAGAATCCCATCTGAGCTGTGTCGTGGGCTCCCAGACAGAAAGTGACTGGCGTGTGTGTGTGAGTGTGTGTGTGAGTGTGTGTGTGTGCGTGTGAGTGAGTGTGTGAGTGAGTGTATTGGGAATGAAGGGGCAGAGAAATACCACGAGCAACAGGAGGGATTGAGGTCAAAAGTTTGTGAACCAGGATTACAACATCTAATCTCAGTAAGTCAGGTCCTCTGTCCCCAGTCCCCCACCCCCACTCCCTCCCTCCGCAGCCCCTCCCGCCCTCCCAGCCTGCTATCCCAAGAGGACCCCTCCAAGCCGGGCTCAGAGACTCAGATCTGACCTCAGCTCTCCTCCTTTTGTTCCTTGCCCTTTCCCTTGTCCCCCTTCTCACCTTGCCCGCTCCTGTTACCAGCTCCTTCCTAGGGGTGAGGGGATGAGGCCAGCCCTCTCTCGCCAGAGCAGAGGATGGAGCACCAACTCCCAGGCTGGAAACCGAGAACCTCAGAGGGGAGTTGGCCTCAGTGACAGAGTCCGGGAGGAGGGTGAATCACATGCTGGACTTTTCCACCAAGTACTTGCCCTCTGTGGTTTCGAGGCAGGCTCTGGACCTGCACAGCAACTACCCTCTTCCTTGGGATTTTCCTAGAGAAAGTGCCCAGAGCACACCTCAAGGAACCCAAAGGACACAGGTTTGCAGTCACACCTGAGTTTGAACTCCTCCTCTTCTCATTTACCCTATTGTGAGCCTCCGTTTATCAATCTATAAAAGGTACCAGTATATCACAATACCCACTTTGTAGAGTTGCTGTGAGGGCTGAAGCAATAGGGTAAACTGCTTGGGATAACATAGGTGCTTAAGGGGAGTTGTAGGTGTTTGCTGTAGGTCCTCTGAAGGCTGGGGCCTGGGTGGTAGAGTGTGTTGTCCAGGCAGCTGTGCCTTGTCTGGTTGCCTGGCAGCTATGAGTGGTGAAACGCACTGAATAATGTGTATGTCCCATGCTGTGCGCCCGGGGAGCTTATCCAGAACAGGGTCCTGTCTCTATTCCTGAGCGCACCCTCACGGTGTTGGAGGACTGACCGAGGCCCATTCATTCAGATTCATTCAGAACAGCTGGTGTCTCTTTCAAGGCAATGAAGATGCTTCTTCAGCTGTAGATGGTACGGAGGAGGGGAAGTTGTGGGGAGAAAAGGAAATTTCCCTTTGCAGGAGCTTCCCCTATATATTTTAGAACTTCCCAGCAGGGCTGAGACTGAAGTGAGAATCTCTGTAATTTTCCGTCAAGCACCCCTCCTTGCTGTATCTCAGGCCCCTCCTCAGCACCTCCTGTGGGTTTCCCTGCCAAGGGGAAGCCAGAGTGAATCTCAATTCTCAGACCTTTGCCTCTGAGAAAGCAGGAGGCTGACTGGGGGTCACGCCCAGCAGAGCAGGGTGTGAGCAGAGCAGCCAGAACTCACACTCCAATCACCCTGTGCTCACCTGGGTGCTGTGGCCTGCACTGCTGCCTCTGCCCTGTTCAGCACGCTGGGCCCATGTGTCCACCATGGAGCTTACTGCAGAAGGGACACCAACGTCCATTCAGCTATTCCAGAACAAAATACCCACCCGGCCTCTCCATGAGGGGGAGCGAGAGGGAAGAGAATCAGATGAGGCAGAGGACGAATATCCTAGCCATTCATTCATTCATTCAAAAACTCTATTTTATGCCTACAAGGTGTCACACTTTCTGCTA